GGGACGCGCCCATTGGCTCTCCCGGCGAGCCCCGCCTCCCGCCCATGGGCTGATGGCTCGAGCGTCGGCCCCCCCTTAAAGGGGCCGCGTCCCCCCGCGGCCAGCCTTGAGGGGACAGCAATACCTGCCCCCGGACGGCCCCTCAGCACCCAGATTTTGACTTTTCTTTAATTATACAGAATTTGGTGCCTGGAATGTTGAACCCTGGCCCCGGGTAGCGCAGCTGGTGGTTGTCGCCGAAGTGGCCAACGATTTGGCAAAAGAAAAAAATAAAAGGATTTGTCCACCTGTCACTGAGATGAAAATTTGGATTTCGAGAGGGCAGGCGGTGCCAGAGCCGGCAGGACGGGCTCCATCAGCACATACCTACAGCTTAAGCATCTTTACTGGCTGTTACAGGCACCTCCTAAACTGCAACTTGACCCATCACGGTTTTGGTCCTCAGCTCCGGGCATTGAGAGCAGAATAAAACAGCAGCAGCTTCTCCAAACTATTAAATAACTCTTTCTGGTTGCTCTTCTGACAACTTAAGAGGTTATTCACGTGCCTGCTGAAAAAATAAAAATAAACCCCATAAGGAATGTGCAACAGCAGCAAGAAGCCCATGAAACATCCATGATGGCTTTTCAGCAGCCTGGTAAGAGTGCTTTGCCCTCGTGCAGCAAGGGGTGGCCCATTTTTCTGAGATTTGGGAATGCCCTTTCCAGGCTCCTCACCTGGACTTCTAAAAGCTCCAAGGAACCTTCCACTTGCAGATTCACCTTTGCCCACTGAGCTGGTGCCTCCCATTTCGGTTCCATAGCTTGATTTCACACGCTTTCCATCATTTTTAACTGTTGTCACACAAGCAAGTTGCAGCACTGTGACACCCTTTATTTTATTTCTCCAAAGAATCCTCCAAAAGCACCCAAAAACTGCTTGTAAATGCTGCAGAATGTAGCAAAGGGAAAAGGATGAGGAAGGATAAGAAGGGGCCTCTCACCTTTTCCAGAACAGCCGAGACAAATTTCTTTTCACAGAAGCATAAGCTTGTTCAGGACATGTTTTCAATATAAAATACTAGAATCAATATAAAAGAATTGAATCCCAATAAAAGGAGCACACGTATCTGCTAATGCACTGGTTGTACCTTTATTGTTTCACCTCGTTCACTAACAATTCAGTGGTGCAAGGTTACCATACACAGTTAGATATCTGCATTGCACACCTAAGGCTATACAGCAAATGGATCAGAATTAGTACAAATACATGAACTATATTTACATTTTGTATACTCAAGCTCCAAATATCGGATATATTTACAAAATAAAATAAGAAAATGAAAACCTGAAATTAATGTACAGTGTTGCTGATACACTCCTTCGCTGGGATGAAATCAGTTTGCAAAGAGATTTGTTCAAGAAGGCCACTTATACAGCATATACCTTGTATATCTTGAGTACAGAGATTAAACATGGAAATGGGGACCGCAATTTAAAAAAAAAAAGTATATGTTTCAGTGCAACAGCATGTCTAATGTCCAAATTCAGGAACCTTAATCAACTGCACATGAAGTATGAACAAGCAGAGTGGAAAATTAAGACCTGATCCCGGGAAGCGCTGATGGTTCAGGAGTCCCCCTGCGTCTCCTCCCTGGATCAGGCCGATAACTTGGCGACATTAGGAATCGACTTAAGACTTACCCCTCCACACCCTCAGTTCTCTGAATACACAGCTGATCCCGGTAATTTAAAACCTGTTCCAAATAACATTGGACACAACCATCTGGTTGGTGTTGGACTAGTTTTGATATTGAATACTTAGAACGCATAAATGGCCTTCTGAACAAAAAAAAAAAAATAAAAAAAATAGAGTCAATCCTGTTCTTGAACAGCTGATGTTTTTAAACAAGGAAGCACAAAATTAATACATTCCTGCTACATACAGTACAGTTCAGACCACATATTGGGGTTATTAACCACAATGGAGAGATGCAACGCACACACGTTAGAGACCCGTTGTACAGTACATTCAGCAAACCCTTCCAGAGCAGCATCAGGATCCTTCCTTCCTTCCTTCCTTCCAGCAGCAGGGTCACTGCTGCATCTTCCCCAAACACACCCGCCGCGGCACAAACCAACACAAACTAAGGCTGTGCAAGAGTAACAGCAGCTGCAGATGCATAGGCAGTATTAGTGGGTCGTACAGTACCAAGGGGTGTTATTCCAAAGCTAATCCTCTTCCTTATCTAATGTGCAATTAATTACAGATGTATAAATATACAATACATTACATAAAATTAAATCCCTGTAAATTAGATAACAAGCAGCAAAAAGGAAAGTCTTTGCTTTGAAATACCTTGCTATTCAGTAATAAGGACTGTTAGACACTGACCAAAAAAAAACCCCTTCTCAGTGGTCTGGAAATAGTATTCCCTTCCCTTCTGCATCCCAGAATAGAGGAATCTTCTTTAAAAAGGTACTTAAAGTGCATTTCTGAAAATACAGTATAAGAGGTTAAGTTTAGTTTTAAAATATCCAGGAAGCTCCAACAGCAACGACATGGTTTGCAATGGTCAAAAAATGATAATTTCCTTCTTCCTTTTAGTGAGGGACATAAAAAACCCCAAATGACAGCACAGTTTCAGACTGATTCTCTCCGAGAAATGCCTCCCCCTGGTAGTCCCGGTGCTGGGTGGGCTGGCAGGCCCCCGGCACGACGCCTGGTCAGCAGTGGGGGGTCCCAGGAGCTGGCTGACTCCAGGACCCCCCCCCACGCAGCCGGTCACCCAGAGCGGAGCCTTCCCTGCCCAGAGAAGGCAGCTTTTGGCACATTTCTCCCCTCTTGTCCCGTTTCTAAAAAGAAATTTCTAACACTGGGCTAGACCAAAAAAGCTTTAAAGTGGATGGAAACCCCCCCTTTTTTTTTTTTTTCTTTGTTATTCATTTAAATAAAACTCAAATTTATTTCAGTCCAGTTTTAAGTTTTTTTTTTTTTTTTTTGTTTTGTTTTGTTATTCATTTAAATAAAACTCGAATTTATTTCAGTCCAGTTTTAAGAAGGAAAGCTGATGTCTCAAACTGGGCTTCAATAACTGGTGAAAAACCGTAACTGCGTGTCTATGTCAGACCCGAAAATAGTAATGCCCATTTGAACTCCACACAACGAGAATCTATTTTGTCACAGATTATGCAGCTTTAAGAGATACTGATGCTGAAAAATAGAATTTTGCTCTTCTGATGATCTGTTATCCACACAGACATCAAGTCATCAGAAGCTGCTCAGAGTCTTTAGGTAGAAGAGTAACATCTACACAACTCAGCTGTAACATTTCCAGCTCCGTATAAAATAAGCATCTGTGTCTTCCTGCTTTTAAAGGAAGATCCCTTAATCATGTTTCTATGCAATGCCTCTATCCCCTTAGGTCATTTTCTGGCTTATCCAAAGCAAAGACTTAGCAAACTAGTTTTCTTCTAGTTTAAAAAAAAAAAAAAAAAAAGAAGGAAAAAATTAAAATGCTGTCAGTGTGTCACAAAATGCCACCACCTAAATTGCTACCTCTCCTCAAACTGGTTCCACTTTCATTATAAATGGTGGTGATGGCATCAACAACTTGGTGCTTAAAATGAATCTAATTCTTGAGATCGGCTTAGCTCCAGCTCGGGGAGCCCTCCTGCAGCACTAACAGTCTTACACATCACACACTGCAAGTGCATTATCATCCATTGCGTAACAAAGGAATATCATCACTGTATTAAGAGTCACACACAATTAAACAAGACAAAACCAGAAGAAAATTAAAACAAACAAGCAAAACCACATCCCTATAATGCTCCTGGATCCCCAGGATGCTCCCTCACTCTGGCTTCCAGTTCTGAAATAAATCTGAGGACCATAGAAGATAGCATGAGCACGTGATTTAGCTTGAGTACTGTCTCAAAATATATAAAGATATGTCCTAGCAAGAGTCAGGCTCCATCTCCCTGCTCCTTTGCCAACCGTGCTTTTGGGAGGTCTCATTATGCATTGCACTTTACTGAAGAATGAAAACCCCATAAAGCTAAAAACTTCTTCAACTGATGCCAGTCCCACACAGATCTTTGTTCCACACAATTCCCAATGCATGGCATGACCTGCTGCTGAGTGAACTGAATCAAAATGACCTTCTTGAGCTGGAGTACCTACTGTAATAGTGGAACAAGACCCTTTTAGCTCTCCATGGAGAGGCCAGAGCCTCAGGATGAAACTCCTGTACATTCCCCAGGGCACCGCTGGCCCTGTCACTGCCCAAGGCAAGTCAGGAACACACAGCACAGAGCCTGGGGCACAGTAAAGGGAAACAGCCACCTCCCCTCCACAACAACCCCCCTGAAAACAAACCTAAGAAAGATGAGTTCACATCTCAGGAAATTTATTCTGCTTCCCTTTTCTGGGGCAAGGACCAAGCCCTTGGCCACAAGGAGATCCCAGACTGCAGCTCAAGAACTACCACCTCCCAGCTCAGCTCCAAGAAGCCAATTGTTACACCCACTGACCAGGACCAGAGTCCACTTGATCCGTCCTCCAGGAAGGATTAATTCTGAAGTTAAAACTAACTAGGGGCTTTTAGCTACTGAAAACCATAGCAGGGAAATTAAGAGGCCTTCAGTTATTCCAAAAGGAAGCGAAAGTGTCCTCCTGTTGCCTGGAAAATACCGCGAGGGCTAGAGGTCTAGAAAGGATTTTGTAGACGGAGGACACTTTCCCCGTGAGCAGCCGGGATGTCAGCGGACTGTAACAGAGAAGGGATGCGCGCACAAACAGGCCGGTCAGATCGGTGCCCTAGGTCCATCCTCATCATCACCCACCGCCATCTCCTCAGGGGAGGGGGGAACTGCAGGAACGCGGGGGAGACACTGCCCCCCTGTGGCCATCTCCTGGAAGCGCTCCAGGGAACCACCACGCTTGTGCTTCCACCTAACACTCATCCGACAAACACGAGGCTGAGAATCTAAAACTTTAGGGATTATTCCTCAACAGCAGCACAGGTCCCGTCTCCTCAGCTCAGTTCAGAGGCAGAGGAGTGAGTGCGAACGCGTTGGGAAAGAGTTAAAACCCCCCAACCCTGTTCACCTGCATCCCTGCAGCAGGAGCTCGAAGGCAGATGATTCCAGCCAGCCCCTCTCGGTTTGTTCCCTGCCTTTTCCCAGCTCATACCTTAGCCTGTTGGACCCTGGAAATTCAAAAATTTGCACCAAGTCCAAAATCCAGTCTGCCCAGATAGATTTGTCCAATATCAGCTTTCAACAGAGTTTAAATTAGAGGCTGGATCCAGAAAGCCTGAGGAGCTATTGCAGTTCCTGGCTGGGTAATGTCTAGAGAGAAGAATTTATCTTTCCCTGGCGTTAGAACTTTGCCCTGAGGGAACTCAATGACTACTGCCAAGTCACAAATTGAATGAAAAACCTGGAGCAGTCTAGACAGACAACAATGGACAGTGGGACAGACACCAAAAGGTCAGTTGAAATGGGAAAACAATTGTTATAAGAAAAAAATAAATAACGTGTGTGGTGTTTTTTTTTTTTCTTTTTTAGAGTCGTGCATAATCACTCGATTTTTTTGATTTTTTTTTTTCTTTCTCTTTTTGTTTGGCCACATGCTACTAGTATGATTCTCAGTACAAGTGAAAAGAAACAAGGTAGGGTTAGAATACCTAGAAAATGTGCTGAAGGAGCTGGGAAGGTAAGGGATGTTAAGCCACAGGATTACATACAAGAGAAACTGTCAAGAATCACAAAGAGAAAATGAGAGGTAACACTTGATCTATCGGAAGGTGAGTCAGGGAGAACAGATGAGAACATTACATGGACTCAGTACTTCAGCTGGCCCGTGCGTCTTCGAGCCAGTTTTGACCTGCACGAGAAAGAAGCAAAAAAAGTACTTGTTGAATTCTGGAAGTTTCTTTTTCTTCCCTCCCCACAGTTTGTCCACCTTTTTTTTTTTTTAAATTCTTTTGTATAGTCCTACTTTACTCCATATGTTTAGAAAGCAAAGTGTATCAAGGGCTGCAATGACAAATACTTCTCACTCTTGTGCTGTGCTCCTTTAAAGGAAGATGGGATCTTTAAGGACTGCACTGCTAAGAAATTAATTGATGCTGTACAGTAATAGCTTAAAAAAAAAATTAAAAACTAACTGAAAGGAAGAGCTATTGTAGCACAGTAAGATCTTTCCAGCAACCAGGGGATGTCTGTGACTGGTGTTAAAGGGAGGGCTTCTAGAGAAGTTCAAAAAAGTGAAGGAAATGAGAATTTCTGCAGTAGCTCACAATTAAGAGAATGAAAAGGCAGCCCAGACCCGCCTGCACAGAGGCAGTAAGAAGCTTTACAAATCTGTAAAATAGCAATATAAGGAAAGCATTTTGTGGCCTCCGAATGCAGTGCTGTGTGACGGGTAGCACACGTTCAGACTGGATATATCTGTCAAGAATGTCACACGCCAAAGCAACAGCCACTGTATTTCCTGAAACACAGGGCTTTTTTGAGCCTTTGTTGTTGTTGTTGCCCACCCTCCTCCCTCCTTCAGTTCACCCATCTTGTCAAATTCTTCAGAACAAGATTAAATTCTGTGACAAACTATTTGCTTATGAGTATCTCACCATCTTTGCAGCACTGTCTGCCCACGAGCTGCCTCTTACCGTATTGTGCCAGCAAGAAGTGGGTTGAAGGCATATAACCAGTCGTTCATGTCCTTGTCATTGATGGCCTGGAGCAGGACCCCACGATGCTTTGTGCATACACCAAATGTGTTGGGTGTCTGGAATATTAAGGACAATTTAAAATAGTGAAGTCTACAAGCACAGAAGCAGATGCAGACTTCCTCTCCGAGGCAGACTTTGCTACGTCACATTCCTAAAAACCACAAGCCCTAAGGTCTTTCATTTAAATTACGCTGGTAATTTGGACATTCATATTAGTCAGTCAAATGGGACATCTTCTACACAATATAGTTTTAACTCCTGAGCTGCTGAGATGGAGCAGTAAAGTTAAATTGATTCCTTGCAGGATGTTTGTGTGTGTTGGTTTGTTTTTTTGGGTTTTGTTGTTGTGGGTTTTGTTTGGGTTTTTTTTGTTTGGTTTGTTGTTTTTTGGTTTTTCTTACACAAACCACACAACCCCCAAATACCACATAAACAAAGCTACAAAAGCCAAACACACAGAGTGAGGGTACCAACACCTGCTCATAAAAGCAAATACCAGGCATAACAGCAGCCATTTTCAGTCTCTTGTATAACTGTGTCCAATACATAAGAAACCCTCAACAAACTTGGAACTTTTTAGGCATAATCATCAGATGCCAGACATTCTCCAAGACACAGATGCACTTTCCTCAGACCAGAGATGACACACAGGATGGTACGGATGTGCTACTACCTGTAGTGTTCCTGCTCTATGCATAAATAAACAATGGCTCTCAGACTGACCTTCACCATTGCCTGTTGATCCTCACTGTATTCCACCTGAGCTGTGGACAAGTTTATGATTCCTCTTTCTACAGGATCTTTGTCACTGTTGTAAATAAAAACATAGGGCCGGCGAACCACCACAAAGTGCTTGGCCCAGGAGCTGGAGAGTGGCTCCTTGAAGTGGAGGTATCCTTTCTTTGAGACCACAGAGCTGGAAAAAAAAATCCAATCAAAACAAATCCACAGATAAACAGGAATATTTTTCTCCTCAATAAGGCACCTACTGAGTATCCCTATTAATTGCAAAACATTGTATGAGACACTTGGTCCTTAATATGTTTTGTCTGCCATGGTATTATGAAAGAGTTCTTCTATAGCATGTTGAATATTTTCTTCAAGAACTATGCAAAAGTCTGACAGAAAGAGGGACCCACAAAGATCTCTACTTCAGTGAACTCCAGCCATGGTTTTGATGATAACAGATACTATATTTAAGTCACTGAAAATCCTGTTCATTAAGTAGATACAGGGGATGAATGCTACAGAGATCAACCATCAACACAACCCTCATAAATCCTGCCTCCATCACACAGGACTCTGCAGTTCTGCTGTCACCTGCTTAATTTACCTTCCTCAAATGGGGTAAAGAAGCTACAAGTCCCAGAATGCCCTTGTGACAGCTCTTGGGAAGCCACGATCATACAACAATAAAAAAACCTACCCTGGTCTGATTTCCTCAATATCAGGCACGAGGTTTAGGAATTCATTCTTTCCAGCTCTGGCAAGATAGGAAGGTTCTACTGTAGGTATTAGCTGGAACTGCTCCACCTCATTACAGGGACTGGAGGAACGAGAATTTGCTTCTGGTGTCCTTTAATAATAAAAAAAAAAAAAAGTCAAGAGAGAAAAGTGAATCACAACAAACCCACTGAATGTGACAATGGAATTTAAAGTGCACCTACAGCCCAGCCCATCTGACAAGTTTTATCGTCCAATTCAGATATTTTACATGACATTGGATTCTTTTGTACAATATCAAATAGCATTTCCCTTGAAATCTTTGGAATAAAACCTACAAAAACTGCTGGTAAATTGTTTGCCCACTACTTCTCCCTCGTTTCTCTTGCCAAACACAGTCACAACAGGGACACACATCTTAGTGTTGTTTAGCACAAAACATACTACTTTGTCAGCACTCATCAGGGAAGGTATAAATTACACATCGTTCACTAAGTAGTTATTCCCAATGTCATCAAAAGTATCTTCTATAGATACAGCTGAGAAAGACAAACAGAGATTACTGGCCAAAGTGGTTTATTCTGGGTTGTTGTTAGTAGGTCTTTTTAACAGACCTCTGAAAAAACACTTGTGGATTTTACACACTGAAGATGCACTGCTCACTGGAATGACAAGCATCTGACTGTTCTTTCAGCACAAAGAGAAAAAAAAACACTTCAAAAGAACAAAATGGGGACAAATAACTGTACGGAGTGATTGGAGAAGATGAGGCAAGGGGCTGTACAGAGAAATATCTGAAAGTAGGGGAAAGGAAGAGGGAGGGAAAAATAATCAGAAAACATAGCAAAGAGATTTGTGAAGCACCGAGAAGTAATGTTTTCCTGTTAATACCCTGTACTTACTTCTGATCAATTGAATTGCATCTTGAATCCACCAGTGAAGGGCAGGTAGATGAAGGTGTGAGGGTAGCACTGCTGAAACTTGACACTGATGGGTCCCGCCCAATTGGAGAAATATCCGACAACTACAAGGACAAATAAAGGTAAAAATATTACAGAAGAGGGTTTTTTTGTAGTTAGTGTTCAGTCCTGGCTAAAAAATACCACTCAGCATGTGGAAGGCTCAGGTAATAGGAATATATTTCAATTAGCCATTTCCCTACTTAGTAGTCAAAATAAAGAAAATTAGTATGAAGTGTTTTGTCTCTTCACAGTATCAACAGATTCTACAAACTACAAATATATTGCTATTATACTATAAATACAGTGTATTGTATTGCATGAAATATTTACCTTACAATCACTGATGCTGTTGTACACCTGGTTAAACTCCCGATTGAAAGTGTGAGTGAGAAGCTGCAGACACTAAGGGAGGGGAACAGACAAAACACAGAAAAGAATTTCACGTTTAGATTTTCAGAGAAACTTGAACACAAAAGGCAATTTGCCAAGACATGCTTGGCAGCTCATGAAAGAATAAACAAATTCTAAATTGCTCTAAAAAATCCCAGGAGGAGGAGGAGGGAATAATCACTTCTCTTGATAAAATTAGAAAGTCTCATTTACTACTAATGAAAGGGAATGAGGTTCAGCCATAGCACAAACCCAGCCACCAGCACTGGCTGGTGAGAATGGATTATTTCACTCTAGAGCATATTAAAATGAAACTCACACAATACTGGCTGTTCACCGTGCTGTCTAAAAAGCTCATCATTAATCTTTACTCATCTTTGGCACCTCAGTTTAGAGCCAGGATGCTTTCTCATGTCATACATACCTTGGTGGCCAGCTCTTTCTCCCGATCCACCAGGCTCTCTATGTCTGCAGAGTCGTAGCCGCTGCTCTCGCTGGGCGTCACTGCGCTCTCAAACGTCGTCGTCGAGATTTGTGAGGAAATGCTGGTGGAGGTACTGAGGGTTCCGCTGCTCAGACTGGGAGACAGTGAGTCACTCAGAGACTTGGGGATGCTGTCACCCAGCTTTTCGCGGAGCAGAAGGAAATGTCGGGTTTTTTCCACCTGGTAAGAAAGGAAATCAGTCAGTATCATCTGCTCCAGGGTGGTGCCTCTTCTGCAGGCACTGAATTCTTACACATTCTTTTAAGATTCACACCAGTAAACATTGTCCCAGGGGAGGGGAGATTACAATAGCACTAGAAGTTGAATCCACCCTTGTTGAATACACTGAGACTCTGAGCTGAAGATTCAACTCAGCAACCAGCCACACACTTTCTACCTTCCCTGTTGGAGAATTTACTTAAATCTTGACTTTGAGAACAAACCCTGATATAGAAAAGCCGTTCAGCTCCGAAGGACTCTCAGCAGGCAGACTGAAGGCAGACTCAGAGGTACAGCTGTGCCTTTCCTTCCACTTCCCCAATCTCTTTACTCACCTCGTGCAGCAGCTCCAGTTTCTCCAGTTCCCACTGATGCTCTAGAATGAGGCTGTCACCCCGGGGCCTCCAACCTGCCAGGTTCTCTTCTCCTCGCACATAGGCCACAGATGTATCCAGGACTTTCCTCCTCCTCCTCTGCATTCCTGAGCATTAAAAAACAACATAAGACATGTTAAAAACATAGCCAGAGGGATGCCACCAAGAAACACTCGGCAATTAGCAATCTGCAAAGAGCCAACACTTGTGCTGCTTGGCTGGAAACCATTTCACTAACAGCAATTACACATCCCAAAGAGATTTGATTTAGTCCTGCCTTCTTACTTCATTCAGATATTTTCTATTGGCACAACAGAATGCAAACTCCTGTTCAGTCTAATTCAGCACAAGAACTTCAATTGCTAGATCTCAGAGGAAAAATATACTGATATTACATGAACTACACTCCTTCCAAGTTATCAAACTTGCATCAGATATCAGCAATATCTTCAAAAGAGCAAGACAAAACCCTATTGCTGCAAAACCAAGTCCCAACTGTGTTAGTTACAAGCTGTGTATTATGGCCCCAAAGTCTGTGACTCTGGGACATGCCCAGTTTCCTGATCCACTGAGAACTTCACATTTTCTGAGGAGCGAATCCTTGGTTCACCAGTGGTAAGCACAGAACCAAGTCAAAAGCAAAAGCCCTCCTAGGTTTTTATAGAACCTGATCCACTGAGAACTTCACATTTTCTGATGACACAGAACCAAATCAAAAGCAAATGCCCGCCTAAGTTTTTATAGACCAGCAATGTTCCATTGCTCCTATGAAACACAGGAACTGCCTCCCATCAGGATAGAAGTGTTTACTCTCTTTTGCCTATGAAATGTTCTGCAATATTTCAGTTTGCAGCATCTTTATTGCTTGAACACCCAGTCACTGCTTACCTGGACTTCCTGTGTCTGCCATTTTGCATAAACTTAGTTCATAGATCCCAGTTACTCGATTGCTGTTCACAAGAGAAGGGAAAAAAAACTCTGTTATCTTCAGAAATAAAGTACACTAGCTTTAGTTCAGTAGTCCCCAAATTTGAAGTTTAAGTATAGTTGTTAGTTAGAACTACTAAAATTGGTAACTGAACTTACGAATCCGGAGATTTGGAGTAGCCACTGCCAAAGAGATTGCGTAGGGATCGTGGTGGGGAGATCTTGGCATCTCGCGAGTAGAAGACCATACAAACATCCTTTGTTATAACAGCAGGCTGGATGCAGTGGTCAAGCTAAGAGAAAAAACAGGAATGAATGAGTGGCTGCAGACAACTATGCCAAGTCATACAGCTTCCCTCTTTTAGTGGGACAGCTTTTTGAAATTTGTTCTTGTTTGGGTCTTTGGTGAAGGCTTTTCATATTTGTTTCTCTGAAAGAGAACTGTCAAATTTCTTGATGGATCTTGTGTGTGAAATAATTGTACTACACAAAACAACAGTGTCTTGCATGCAAAGCCAAGAGTTAGGCTAGTGTTCGCAACAATAGTAGTACTTACATATCAATGTTCACTGATTTCAATGGATTTTCAGATATAAAGACAGATAAAACGAGGCACAAAAAGGTGATGAGATCACCAGTTTCATCAGAAAATGAATGAAGACTTTCACTGGCTTCAGGATTCAAAATCATCTAGTCCAGTAAGTATTTATCTGGGGTACACATTGTCTGTTGTCTCAAATAATTACACTTCAGTCACAAGTAAAAAGGTCTCTAACCTCCAGGTAAGCAGAAAGGGTCATATATATCTTCTCTCCATACGGTGTCACTCGGTTGAGGAGCAGGGAGTTGTGCAGGGAGCTATCCCAAACTGCTTCAAACCGATAGAAAGTCCTGGAAAAAAGTACAGCAAAAGCTCAATAGTAAGAGTTCCTCTGCAGCCCTCTCATCAGTCAGCGCAAAGCATCTCTTCCTTGATATCATCTACTCTCAGTGGCATCAATAAAAACTACTTGAAACAAAAACCTTCTCTTCTTTCCCGAGATTACTTCTATCTCAAATAGTGTGGCATAAGAGACCATTGCCTGTTATGAAAAAGACCCATCTAAAAAGGAAAAGAGGGAATACAGTAGAGAACAAAAGCTGTCCTAACACTACAGGGAAGTCAATGCTAAAGAACAGTGTTTCTAAACAGAATTCCTGTCTATTGCCTCAGGTGCAATTCAGCCCTGCTGGACCTCCAAAGTGCATGGGAAGATTCTTTCTTATATGCAACACTCATTCTACAACGTATTTTAAGATTAACATAGAGCAGCAGAAGAGATACCCCTAATAGTTAGTCTTATAAAACCAGCAGCTTCTGATAGCAAATCATTCCTGTCTATTGCCTCAGGTGCAATTCAGCCCTGCTGGACCTCCAAAGTGCATGGGAAGATTCTTTCTTATATGCAACACTCATTCTACAGCGTATTTTAAGACTAACAGAGCAGCAGAAGAGATCCTCCTAATAGCTAGTCTTCTAAAAGCAGCAGCTTCTGATAGCAAATAAGAACGACTGATAGGTAGGGATAAGTCCTATATTCAAGTGATAAAGATTTCTTTCTATGTCCCTATTAGCTTCAAGTAAAACCTTGTTGATCTAACACAAACTTTTGTAAGAAGTCTCTTCAATTTGGTACATGGAAAGAAATGAGCTGAGGTTCCCACAGTTCTACTCTGGCCATGAGGAAACATCATCTGTTCAAGTCAAAAGTGAGAGCCATCATCACGCACAGGACAGCTAAATCCTCACACCTAGAGTCACCCTTACACTCTCTCCTCTCTAACAGGGGCTTGGGGAAATGAGCTTTCTCCCTTCTCACAGACAGAAACTGATTTCATGTAGGTTCCTTTGGAAAGAACTCCTATACCCTTATTCAGGAATGCTTTTCTACACTGGTAACAGGAAAAAGAAGGTATTCATTCTTCATCACCTCCATATAATTGCCCTCCCAAATCCTCTTGCCCTTGAGGTTTTCCATGCTGAGTCCAAATGATGTGGTACTAAAAGCAAGAAAGTGCTTCACATATATTGGGTTTTTTTTAAAAACAAGTTATATCTCTAAAGATTATCCTCACACCTAGAGTCACCCTTACACTCTCTCCTCTCTAACAGGGGCTTGGGGAAATGAGCTTTCTCCCTTCTCACAGACAGAAACTGATTTCATGTAGGTTCCTTTGGAAAGAACTCCTATACCCTTATTCAGGAATGCTTTTCTACACTGGTAACAGGAAAAAGAAGGTATTCATTCTTCATCACCTCCATATAATTGCCCTCCCAAATCCTCTTGCCCTTGAGGTTTTCCATGCTGAGTCCAAGTGACGTGGTACTAAAAGCAAGAAGGTGCTTCACATATATTGTTTTTGTTTTAAAAACAAGTTATATCTCTAAAGAGCTTCTGTACTAATGCCCAAGGCCAACTCAGAAAAACAGAAACTGAAGCCAGAGACAAATGACAAAAAGCAGGGGAGGGGTGGAAGAAAGAAATAACAAAAAAACCAAAACAAAAAGAAACACAAAACGGCCTAAGAGTAGACATATCAGAAACTAAGAGTTCTGATCTCAAATAGAGTTTCCAAGAATGCCCCTGCATCAAATGTAGGTGCCTTTCATTGGTCATTGAGGCACCATGAACTGTGCAGTCAAGCAATACAGTCTGAGAATATTGCTAAATACTGTTTCATTGGTCATTGAGGCACCATGAACTGTAATACAGTCTGAGAATATTGCTAAATACTCTATGTTTGAAGTAGCATACTGAAGAAATTACTTCTAAATGTCTTGCTTCTATTAAAAATTCCAGAGAAATACATTCTAAATTACTTCTAAATGTCTTGCTTCTATTAAACATTCAGAGAAACACATTCTGAAGGCTAAGGAATTGGTAAATTTAAAAGCACAGTAGCGTAATAATCCTTACTTGAGTTAGATTAGGCAAACAACACAGGCTGTACTCTCACCCTTTACAAATCCGTGTTGAGTCCCGATGTTTTAATCTTTCGTCATGTCTTAGTTACGAGAGCAATTTTTTAAACTTTTAGTAAGCTCCAGATCTACAATCTGGGTGAAAGAAAAAGTAGTAAAACCTGGTTGTCCCCAGATGGGAAAGCCAGTCTTCCTGGCCCCTCAATCAGCTCTGCACCATTTGAACTTCTCAGGAAGAGAGAACACCGGTGTAAATGTTCATCAGCACAGAACTGAGGGTCCCCCTTCAGCAAAATGATGATTTTTGGATCAACACCAAGTTGAAGTCAAGTATAGCTTCGAGACAGTTACTCTACTGGATTTTGTCTAGCCAGGAAGTTAAATATACCCAGTCTTGCCTGTCCAAACCAGAACTTGCTAGAATAGTTATAGAGGGAGACAAAAAACAGAAGGGAGCAAACTTCTTTCAGCATAACCAATAGCACATGGAGGAAAATGGAGCACAGAGCAGGCAAAGCATGGGAAACAGGAGAAACATGTTAGAGGCACCAATGTATAGTTAGAAGTGATTTGTAAATGGATTTCAGCATCAGTGAAAGGCAGTGAATTGACAGCATTGAACACTTAAAGTCTTCTCTTTTTCAAAGAGGCAGAACACAGAAAGCAGAGTGCAAATTGTCGCAGCCAGCCTGCTTGGCTGGGATCCAGTCTGGAGGGAGAAAGAGGAATCCAGTCTGAGCAGCTACTACACGTCTGGCTTCTCTGCCAACTGGGAAATGAAGAAGTAGCAACCACATGGTTAAATTTCAGATGCAAATCCAGCCTCAGAACAGAGGTTGAATGCCAGTCACATGGCAGCCACTGCTTTTTGTTCAGTGCAATTCTGAGCTGGAATTTCAAGTAACCTAATCATTCAGGCCCTGACTTGGTACTTCAAACGTGGCAAGTTACGGAGTCAAAGACAGTAAGAAATTCCAAATTTAGTTCATTAATACAGAACAAAGGGAAAAAATAGCAAGGACTACAAATAGGGACTATATTCTGATGGCACATTTTGAGAATCAGAAAGACTGAAGGAAGGAAGCTCTTGCTTACACGTGAAGGAATGTTGAAGTTCACAAGTCCCCCACTGAATTGTACCTGAATAAAGCCCTGACACAAAGGAGGAGGTGGTAAACTACTTCTGGAGGAGCTAAAAGGCATGCTAACAGAATTCAGTAACAGCTAAAAGGGAAGTGGCAGCAATACAAATGAGACATAAAGCATTCTATTTTCAAGAACCTTTATGTACAAAGGAAGCAAACAGAAAATACCTAGGCATATCCTTATCAAGAAAGAGCCTGTAAAAACATAGAAAGAGCTTCAGTTAGTGCAGCCAAAAGCAGAACAAAAAAGCAACAGCTGAGAGGAACACAAGTGAAAGAGCTTCAGTTAGTGCAGCCAAAAGCAGAACAAAAAAGCAACAGCTGAGAGGAACACAACAAGCGGACTTAAAGAAAACCAAGCCACACCAAGCAGAAAACAAGCCTGCAGACAATGAGCAAACATAAGACACATCTCTTACTCCACCACCCTGCTGTGCTCTCATCCCACAGCTTAAACCTTGGCATTTTGGTAAGAGATGGTCAATAGCTTCACTTCACTCTCACTCCTTGTTCACCCAAGTGGCCCACCTAATAGAAAATGACAGAGCTATACAGGAATTTCTTGAAATTGCTAGATAACAGAAAGTACAGGGCTTCCCAACTGCAAATCCAATCGTATCAGACTGGAAACCAGCAACAGTCCCCTTATGTTCCACTTAGGCCAATCCATTAATTCAATCACACTACAAGTAAAATACCCACATCTCTGTGGGAGGCAAAGAATAACTGCTAAAAGCCCTGTCACTGTGTGCCTTTACAGACACTAGGTGGCAGGGAGACACTCAGTTGGTAGGAGTGTCCTGAATCCACCTTTAGTATCTCAGCGCTATTTCAAAGTCCAGGCCTCTAACGGCGAAGGAAGAAGCCATTTCAGTGCCAAGAAGGACATCGCCTCCAGCAACTGCACCAGAGACGGGCCCCAAAACACTCCCCTCCCCTCCGGAAACACTCATGCAGAGTTAAATCTCAGAGATATTCCTGCTTTGCACCAGCAAAACAGTCACGGCGTGGTCAAGTGACTTGGCTGATGTCAGAGGAGGGAGAGGCCGTGCCGGATTCTGCCTCACTGCCCTTTGTTTTCCTTCAGCGTCTGCAACAATGTGGAGTCTGACTGATCTTCACAGCAAAGCACCCTACTGAGGAGACACAGACAGCCAGAAAGCTCTCAGACAGGGGCCCTGCTGCTGCCCAAATGACTGCAGGTACATGGAACAGACACCTCCTTATTACAACTGGAGTCAGTTTGATACATCTGTAAAAATCCACAAATTACGAAGCTTAATTTACCAAGCATGGCTCTTGATTAAATTGTCACATGCTTATTCCAGGAATAATATAGGTAGGTATGTACATATCCATAAATAAATCCCCTGAGATTGCTCTTGTACTTCAATGCTGTAGTCTAACAACAGACCTTGATGTTAGTTTAGAAGCTCTGGGTTAAATTCTGAGACTCCTTTAAGCTGTTCCTTTCCATCCTCCCTTTGTGGCGCTTACAAATGGAAAGTAATTCAAATGCATTAACAACAAATCCTCCACGCAGACTAATGAACTTCAGCTTTTGCAAGAATTTATGGTAACATTCATTCTCTATCCGTGTGCCCTGTGCCCATGGAATTCTACATTTAATAATTATCAACATTCTCAGCTTTCCAAACTTCCTGCCAATATCTCAGAGGTCAAAGAAATGTCAGATTCCTGCCCCGGTGCTCACTTCATTCACTTACCTATTGGAGCTGTGAGAAGACTTCAGGTATTTTGCAGAGATAATATTCAAAGACAGAATAGCATCCACAGCAGCTTCATCTACCTCTGCTTTATTTCTTATACGTCCTGAAAAGGGTAGGAGGGGGAATCAATTAAAACTAAAACTGAAATACAGAAGAAATTTGTTTTCTTCCAAATATAATTTCAGACTATGGGATTAACAAGCAGCTACACGTTGGAAGTTGCAAAACTTAATTTTTTCCTCTGGATCTTTTTCAACATGCTCTTCTCACAGCCAGTACTCAAAGATGACAGAACCATTAGAACTTTTTCTTCCTTACGTAGCGATGTGCAAAACAATATACTCACCAACAACCAGCTCTCGCACATCTTTCCAGTGCAACTCACTGCCCTTCTCATGGATAATGGTGACTGTAATTCTACGCTGGATTCCCTGGGGGAGTCCAGAAACAAAACCTTGGTGAAATATTCACACACACACAATCATCATCTATTTTTCACTTAAACTGCAAAAAAGAAGCAAATAAGATGATTTAAACTGGTCTATAACTGTGAACAATCATCTCTGCGTTTCAGGGCCCTAAAATTATCTTAAGAGGAACACTATATTCTCATGTGTAACAGAAATTAAGACTTCTCCCTTCTCATTCCACAAAGGCAGAGGTTTTTTAGCCTAAAATAGTTCTGAAATCGTTGCTACGCTCTCAAAGATACATATGGTCCTGGGATAAACCAGAGTTGACCACAAAACCAAGCAAATACTTGGGTAATGCGTCCTTATATGCTTATATGTTACATATAAAACGTATATACACCAAAAGAAAAAGTGTCTATACAACAAAAAAAAATTTACTAGAAAATAGCAACTATTCATGCAGATATTCTCCTCCTCTGTGACATGTATCTGTTACAAGTCAAAATACAATGAAACTTTGTAATAGCTGGGAAGAAAACAAAATTGTAGAATAGAAAACAAAATAGAATAGTTTTTCAGAACATCTGAAAAATACCTCAGGTGTTGGTGAGGACACTAGTAAGTCCAGAACAGCGTAGCATTTTTATTCATTCTTTTTTTAAGGAAATTATTGGAATCTGACCATTATTCTTAAGCTGTAAGACCTGTTCTTATCATTTTAAGAAAGGAAATGCAAGTCACAGGCCCTATGAAAAGGAACTTAGAATGTGAGAGTAGAAAAAACAGAACATAAACCTATAAACAATATTTAACTAGGATTATCTTTAGAATCTAGCTAAAGACAAATTATTATTAAGGATTATTATAGGCATTTAAAATGCACTGAGACATGGTCATTTTGTAGATCTGTCTCATCGTCACACGCAGTGAGAAAGCACCAATGGAAGCTGAGTCTGATCCTTCTGTGTCCCTGGCAGAGATGCTGGAGAACACTGAAGGCACAAATCTTGTCCCAAAGGTTCCTGCTTTTTAAAAGGCTTTTATCTATCGTGAGTGGGATGCACAGTGATAAGCAAAGGAAACAGCAATGTTCTAGGGGCCCAACATCTTCTCCTCGTAGCCCAAAGCCAGCAGACTAAGTACAGACTGAGAGATGACTGACCCTACAGCTATCATTACAGAGCTGCGTGGGAAAAGGAGACATGAAAGATGCAAAATGCAGTCATTAGCATTCTAACCCCCCCAGAGATGAAACTTGCTGTTCTACAGCCCTCATTAGTACCTGGTGAAGCAGGAACGTCCCCTGACAAGGCAGGCCTCCAGTGTGGTCCACAATAGCAGGAATATACCTGTGTGAGACAGTGCAATCAACAGGCAGGAAAGATACACCAGCACAGCAATACTCTGTATTCTGCTGCCAACAGTCACATTTCCATATCATATCTGAAGAAATCAGAGTGTTTCTACTGACTCTCAGACTGGACTCTTTATGGGACCACAGTATCAGTGAAATATAGAAGTATCTTATACTGTTCTTCCAGTACTTCTGGAAAATTGTGGAACTCACTTCTCAATATAATCCTAAGAGACCTGTCAGAGAAAAACCTTCCCTGTAGCAGAGGCGAACATAAAATAGGGTCTGCTAGCTGACTTCTGGAGCAGGAAGTCTCTAGTGACCCAAAGAATCTCAACTTGTGGCCTGTGTAAGGTTAAGTTTTCCCAGCACCTGTTCTACTGGTGTGCATGGGATTCCAAAGGGGAAAGATTCCTTCAAGTGTGAAAGAATGTCATTGTGTCTGTTCAGTCCTTTCCAAGGGGGACAACCCAATCACTACAAACCAGCCAGACACCAGGCTGATATAAGCCAGACCACTGCCCAATAATGGTTGCTAAACATCAGCCTTGCCTGAATAGAACAAAGATAGAAGATCAAGCTCCCATAAATCACTGTTCTTAAAGCAAGAAAGATTAATATGGGACTTACTCCCCTGTTGGCTCCAATTCGCTGATCTCAAACCACACAAGGAGGTCATATTTGCTCACGCTCTGGCCCAAGCTGGGTTTGCTCATGGTGTTCAGCTTTGTAGCTGGCGCTAAACATCAGCCTTGCCTGAATAGAACAAAGATAGAAGATCAAGCTCCCATAAATCACTGTTCTTAAAGCAAGAAAGATTAATATGGGACTTACTCCCCCGTTGGCTCCAATTCGCTGATCTCAAACCACACAAGGAGGTCATATTTGCTCACGCTCTGGCCCAAGCTGGGTTTGCTCATGGTGTTTAGCTTCGTAGCTGGCACTTAAGAATAATAAAAATAAAAAAAAACAACAGAAAGAATAAAAAAAAGAGTGGTTTACAAAGACTGAATGAGTAAAGCTTACCCTAGGGCTCACAGCAACATGTCATTTCAGTGATCCTGTGCATTCTAGGTACATGTGCAGACCACGTCTTTTCCCATGAAAATGACATTGCTTACAGCAATCATTAGTTCTCAAAGCATAGGTTTTTAGACCTAAGTTACTAGATTATAAAGAAAAAAAAACAGCCCCAAAACCAGCAGTTAAATAGTGAAACAAAAGTGTATGCAAAAAAGCTTGTAAAAATACACAATCTCTCTAGATCCACCAAAAAAAGTTTCCTCAAATGTGCATCAGTTACTTTCTGATTAAACAGTTTGTGATTCAGAATTGCTTAGATCTGTTCATCTGCACCATTACTCACCCATAAAGTACATTTCCCCTTCTCCACACAAGAAAAAAAATAAATAAAGATTTTAAAACTTCGGTCTTTGTTTCTTCAACATTTCCCCTTCTCCACACAAGAAAAAAAAAAAAATAAAGAATTTAAAACTTTGGTCTTTGCTTCTTTGTACTAGATTATAAAGAAAAAAAAACAGCCCCAAAACCAGCAGTTAAATAGTGAAACAAAAGTGTATGCAAAAAAGCTTGTAAAAATACACAATCTCTCTAGATCCACCAAAAAAAGTTTCCTCAAATGTGCATCAGTTACTTTCTGACTAAACAGTTTGTGATTCAGAATTGCTTAGGTCTGTTCATCTGCACCATTACTCACCCATAAAGTACATTTCCCCTTCTCCACACAAGAAAAAAAATAAATAAAGATTTTAAAACTTCGGTCTTTGTTTCTTCATGTTACAAACCGCCAGTCTCCTGCACCAGTTTAGGTAACAGCATGTGTATGTAAAAAGGCTGAACAAGACTTATTCCAGAGCCATAATCCTGCCAAAGTATTTTTCTGGGCTCCTTATGTTTTGATATTAGTGTTTACTAATGGCCAGATCCTCTTTAATTCCTTTAATACAAATGTAGGGATAAACTATGCTAGAAAAAATAGTGGGATAACAGACATTCTAGAAATAACCTGATATTCCTTCACGTGTACTTTAATGACACCTTTTAGCTATGATTGCATGACTTCTCTTAATCTGTTCATTCATTTTTGGAAATGGGAACATTTTAAAAGCGTAGTTCCTGTGTACTCTGACAGGTATTTTTGTAACTCTGCAACTGATTTTCCATTTTTTCCTCTTTTCACATACTAACCTTACTGCTTTTATTAAGCCACACAATCATTCTCCCTTATAGCCTCTCAAGCCCCATTCTTCCCTTGCTCAAGTGTTCTTTAGCTTCTTCTATTGTCACACCTCTGTGTATCCTCCAGCTTCCACCATGATTTAACTTTCCATGCACTGGAAGGGTGTAACAGTTAAGAAAAGGTCCTTATAAGTGCACCTGTGTAATCTCTTTTGGGAAAAAAAAGAAGTGAATTCTGTTTCGTTCTCTTAATCTGTTCATTCATTTTTGGAAATGGGAACATTTTAAAAGCGTAGTTCCTGTGTACTCTGACAGGTATTTTTGTAACTCTGCAACTGATTTTCCATTTTTTCCTCTTTTCACATACTAACCTTACTGCTTTTATTAAGCCACACAATCATTCTCCCTTATAGCCTCTCAAGCCCCATTCTTCCCTTGCTCAAGTGTTCTTTAGCTTCTTCTATTGTCACACCTCTGTGTATCCTCCAGCTTCCACCATGATTTAACTTTCCATGCACTGGAAGGGTGTAACAGTTAAGAAAAGGTCCTTATAAGTGCACCTGTGTAATCTCTTTTGGGAAAAAAAAGAAGTGAATTCTGTTTCGTGTCTAGGTAAAATAGCAGCTGCCTCAGAGGGACAGGTTTTACAAGAATCAGTTATTTGCAGCACTACAACTCCTCCATCCTGAGCTGCAAGCTTCAGTGTCATCATTTACTGTTCCCATTACTCAGTGTAGTCACTCTCTTATACCCATCACATCACATAGCTGCACATGAACTCCTCACAGCTGGACTCAATGCTGTTGGTAGCCAGAGGAACATCAAACACACCCAATCACTCAAATTTACTGCTAAGCAGAGAAACTCAAAAGTGCAAGAATAGGACAAACAACAGAAAGACATATTTAACTAAATGTGAAAGATGGTTCTGGAAGTTCTCATGGACTTGCATGGGTGTAATTAATACCCAGTATATCATCATCATCTTTTTTTTTGGTAATAAAACAAAATAAAAATGTAAGTGAGGAACAGCACTGTTAGTGGCAAAAAAAAGATGCGCAAAAAGGAAACCTATATAGAACCCATCTGAACGTTTCCCTACAGCTGGCTGCTTATAGACAGCATCTCTCATCCCAATCTCATAAAACTACGCATAGAACAAAAAAAATCAGAGGTCCAGGAAGTTTCAGGAAATAGATCCAGTGACACAGAAAAATCTGTGATACCCAGCACACCGGAGTTCATAGATTTTCTCTATGGTTCACTCTAGAATAGCCCTAAACTTAAGCACAGCATCATCCTTCCGTGCCCACAACCATGGCAGTTTCTAGTCCCAGGAATACCACATGATAAAGGCAAGAAAAAAGGAATTTTGAGGCACACTCTGGAACTACGTCTACATCTACCAGAGATCAAGTTTGGCTACTAACCATCTCGTTTAGGAGCCCGCTCACTCTGACAACTGGGAATAGGCAGAAAGAGAAAAGGTGGCAGCTGGTCAGCTCCATCCTGGAAAGCAGCCACAGCAGAGGAGGCAAGCACGTTGGCATGCTCGGAGAGCGTGTTCAGCACATGCACGTTTACATAGCCAGACATAAGATACCTAATCAACTCAATTTTTCTTTCATGGTCTGCAAACGGAATGGAAGACACACAAGAAAAAAAAAAAAAAAGGAGGAAAACAAAAAAAAAAAAAGGAGGAAAATAAATTATATAAGCTCATAAACATCTCTTTGTCTTACTTAAGCTTAATTGAAACCAGAGTCTGGCTGTTACACCCCTGGAGCAGCCTAATTTACTGCATTTGGGATGACAGGTAGGTAGGGCATTTCCACGTAGAAGCTTTCGTGGGGCTCAGATGTGCACGGCTTCCCAGCCCCCCACCCCCAGCAGCCATCTGGCCCCCCTTGCTCCCAGTGCTCCCCAAATCAGGGGCTCCAAACCGGGTCCAACACGGTGCCCGGACACCCGGCTGGTTTGTCTG